GAATTGAAACTATGTCTTTGAATTTTCTCTTCAGTATGATAGTTCAGAGCTTGGTAAAAAGGGGACGCACGTTCTTGTCTATAGATTTAGTCTAGTGCTCACTGAGCCATCTTCCTTACATTCATAAATCATTGATTTTTCTGAACTAACTACAAAGGTACAGGAATATTATGCCTACTATAAAACAAACCTACTATTTGATGCTTGAGCTGGGATAGTAGGAATGACCCCTCAACCTTTTATTTTTTATAGTTTTATTGATATAAAATTCATATATTATACACTTCCATAGTTAAGTTGCTTTTAAAAAGAGTTGAATATACAATCAGTTCTGGTGCATTTGCCCCTCTGGCATTCATTGTTTGCTCCCAAATTCCCTTCTCCCTCCTCCTCACTCCTGATAAACCATTGAATCAGTTATTGTCTCTCTGCATCCATGCCTTATGTACATAAACTGGGAAACCTAACAGAACAATAAAAAACACAATGAAACGAATAATATAAAGATAAAAACATTAAAATAAAGAGTAAGAAAGAAAAGATCACCAGTCATATTAAAATAAGCGAGTGAGAAAATGGCTGTCGTGGAGCGAGAGACGTATTTAAGCCTGGAGCATGTTCAGGTTGGAGTCAAGAGGTAGGTCAACTGACTCGTATCATAGTATGCCACAGTCCCATCCCCCATAATCAAGTTAACAATAATCTGATAGTAAAGCTGGTTAGGTCCCTGGACTCTGGACAGAGAGGATCTGCCAGAGGGTTCAACTAGGATTTCAAAGATGGATTTGGGGTGCCCACTGTCCTCCATAGCCTTCTACAAATTGGGTGTTCACAATTTAAACTGATACTTTTCCCTTTATCATACCAGGATTTTGTTATTGTCACCTTTGTATCCCTCAGGCTGGTGTGCTTCTTCCATATGGATTTAAACCTCACTCCAATTGATAGCCAGGCACCATTGGCCTTAAACCTTTTAATCTGAGCTTAAGTTGGCCAATCAGGTGCCCATTTAGGCGATGATCAAATATACAATGTAATTTTAGGATTTTGCTCAAGCACTTAAAAAAAAATTGTTAATAGGGATGATACCTATAG